CTAATTTAGCATTCAATCACCCAATGGGTCATTTGGTTTGTAAAGATAAATGCTGAGATCTACTAGTAGTACTACTATTAGTCCCAGGCTGGGTATGGCAAATTTAGCTTTATGGCAATCATTACAGGCCGGTGATGTAGAACAAGAATAAGACAGCAGCAGCAGCAGCAGCAACAGCAGCAGCAGCAGCAGCAACAGCAACAGCAACAGCAACAAGATTGTGGAGCATCACCATTGTCCTTCTTGTTGCTGTTGCTGTTGCTGTTGCTGTTGCTGTTGCTCTTTTTGGTGTTGTGTCCCCCAGAGTATGATATCCTCATCACTCACACCAGCAGGAGCAGCAAGATGTGTACTACCACCAGCGCTGTCGTTGATACAACCACAGAGAAAACACAAAACTTCTTCTTTCAGCAAACTAGTAGTATTTATTTCTATTTTGCTATATTATTGTCCATTGTTGCCCTCATGTTTTTCCTCCTGGTGGCACGCTTCAAGAAAGCAAACTTCAACAAATAATGATTCTTCTTTTTATTCTTGAAACAAATATCTTCTCCTTCTAGAAACYTCCAGAGGCCTATGAATTGTGGTGGGACAAAGAGGATATTAGGCTTTCCTCTAAAGTATGATGGGATGGTGGTAGTAGTAGTACTAGTATAAGAACCCCAATGATTGCCATATGGCAATTTGCCAGCAGGATATGTCCTCCTTCTTTCAGTGGTGCCTCCTCAATGCTGATAATGACTAGTACTATCACCAGTAGTAGAAGGAGGCTCTTCTGAGCTGCTATTGTGCTGTGGTAATAGTAGTAGTAGTAGTAGTAGTGTAGTAGATCATAGGGTCTACTATGGATACCTCTTGCCCTTTTTGAGCCATTTTTAATAGTACTACTAGATACACCCCTGATTCTTGTGCTCCCTTGGGACAAGCGCTGCCCCTTGGAACAACTGGAGGTATCCTTCTCTCTAGTGGAAGAAGTGATGGTTCTGGCCCTCCTAGTGCCTCTTCTACTATTAGTAGTAGTGGAATTACTAGATCACAGGATTGAATACAATATAAAGTTCTTATTGCTGGTATGATTCTAGTAGRAAGAAGCAGATCCAGCCAAGAGCAGTGGTTAGTAGAAATAATAGACCMAAAGGAAGAAAAAGGGAATAATCAAATACATCATGTTGTCTTTGGAAGGGGGGGGCGGGGGGATTGTTGGAAAAAGTGTTGCATTGGTATTTGAACTCACTACCAGCAGTATTGGTGGCRTTTCCACATATGCTAGTAGCAAGAAGAAGATGTTGGAAGTGATGTGTCATAAAATCCATTGAAGACCAGCTGAGATGGAGAAAGGACAAATTCCATGGTGTGTTCATGTATTCTGCTATATTCTGTAGGAGGTGATTACTGTGTTCATGGCAATGATGGGATCATAGAGGATCTTCTATTTTAAATATATAGAAAGATAGATAGGTGGATTGCTTCATGTAAGAAATAAGAACATAATATTTTGGAGAAGGAATTATCAATATTCAATTCTCCAATCTACAYCATATTCTGATTTTACACTGCTTTTCATGTCTGCCARTATGGGATTGCAATCCACCATCATCATTGGGGATCTACTCCCTCAGTTCTTGTTCTAAATCCAGCAGACAAAACATTAATACRAAAAGAAGCACTTAGTCTGATTGCAAAAATGTAGACAGTTGATGAGAGTAGATTGACCAGAATTTAAATATTATTTAGACTGAACTTGGCTAAATTTACAGTCTAGTTGTAGTCTGTCTGTCATTTTAGATACTGGTAGATCTAGTTTGATTGAAATGACCCAATAACATAATGTATGGTACTGAATCAATGAATGAATTAAGCAGGCAGATCTCGACAGCACCATTACAAGGTGACAGTCCAATAGAAATTAGTGATACAGAAAGCCTTTGCCTTGGTTGGTAGAAAATAAGATTAAAAYAGCTTTGCATGACGTTCGATTCGATCACGGTTTGTCGTCCAGACAGCAGCGGTCGTAAAAACTCTTTTCGRTTATTTGCTCTCGACTCTAGCGTCTGGCATTTTTCACCCTCGTCAACCTCGCCGTAAAGAGTAGAAGTCATGTCAAATTCCATTTGTTTTGGGACAGTGTTGTATGAGAGAGTTTTGCTCTTAGTTCTTTGTTCTTAATTAAGTCTACAATCAAATAATACTACAATCACGTTTTCATACATTGCGTTTTAGCCCAAGAACCAAGATGGTGCGTCGTTTCGCTCACTCATCAACTCTCTTGACAGATGACCTTTCCGGTCCAATCCATCAACTGAACACAATCACATGTATCTGGTTTATTCCTTGATAAAGTRGATTTTCCTCCATGGACCCCTAGGCAGATGGAAAATCYATCCATTTATACCATGGATTTGAGTCATACAATCCGAAAGTCTATTCGCCGTTTAATTTGTTGTTTCTGTACATGATKACTCCACCAGTGATAAACAAAGCACACATGATCACGAATAGGACACTAACAACACTGTAGAATATGATTCTTTCCCTTCGTCTTTTTCTACTCAAGCTAGAAAGAATCGAATCTCCGCTGTTGTGGGTGTGCTCGTCGTCCTCATCTTTGAAGGTACCAGCCGAAGATTCATTATCGAACTGCTCTTTTTGTTGCTCTTGCTGTTTCTCATGCTGCTGGTGTTGAAACTGTCGTTGTTGCACCTCTTGTAACTCTCGTTKYTGCTGCTGTTGTTGCTCTTCTTTCTGCTGTTGTCTCACTTGATGTTCGTAACCAATCATGTTGGATTCCATCTGATCCAGTTCCATTTCGCTCTTCGTTAGATCCTCTACAATGAGGTCTGGTGTCGCTTCTTTTTTCCCGCGGTTTGGGAGGGAGAAGATTCCAAGGGCAGAAATGGCGCTCGCCCGGAAACTTCCTGCAGTAGTCATCATCGCAAATTTTCCTTGACTGCCAGTCGATGCGCTGTCATTGTCGTCATACCCTTTCTTGCTTGGATATTTTCGGTTATTTCCTGACCGATATTGAGATTGACGATCTTCCTCCTCTTTGGTCAAGCCGGATTCGCCGTCGATATCGTGAATGCTTGTCCCCTCACCGCCGATCATTACTTTATTGATTTTGTGGCCTTCCATGTTTTGTTGCTTACTGGCTGATAATGATTTGTCACTGGCTTAATGTCTGGTTGTCTGACAAGCTGGTCGATATCTTAGTTCTTACACTCTTGTGAAAAGATATTMGACGATRAGATCAATAAAATATGTGCTTCGTGGTGTACCACACAATAATATATTTTGAAAATTCTGTTCGCGATCCAAATAAGAATGGCTGACWGTTTTTCCAATGCAGGTAAAACACACACTGCACGACTAATTGAGGCCCGTATCGTCCGTTCGGTTGATTTTTTCTGTGSGTTCATTCTATCGTGGACTACGTAGGTAGTTGTACGACTTATGCCATTCCTACTACCATTCATGTGCATCATGTGGGACTTGCGGGAGAAATTAGCACGACAAAAATACCGTTCGGCTTGAATGCGAATCGTGAAAGTTGCGCCGGCAGAGCTCTACATCGGCACAACTATCAGATTCAACATCTGTCCCTGTGAGCCTAAATCACGAGTAGATAGTGAATAAGCTCACTCTTTATTGTAAACACATAGTTATACGCCACTAAAGAGCACACGTACATTTTGCAGGTTATGAGCAAAAACAGACTTACCTCAGCTCATCATCAACCCCCGACTCCACAAAGTCAAACAGAGTAGTCTGATTTACTACTACTCACGGCCCCCTCGAACTGGAACCAATCGAACAGAGACCACTGGCTTTACGTCGAGGGTATTTTTCACCAGAATTTTTCAGAAAACTCCAGAAGAGAACCAGTACTATATGGCACTAAAGAGCACACGTACATTTTGCAGTCCCACTGGTACCGGTACGAGAACGACTGGTGAAGTACAGTAAAGGTTTCGTCAGACGATACAAGAAAAGAAGYAAGGAGAACTAATTAGTATTTTTTCTATTTTTCAATTTCCCCTCTTCCCCCCTCCACAAACCAAAACAAGCCCACCATCATTACAAGTACATATTTGGGAACTTGTATCAGTGTTCATTACTTGAGAACTTTCATAACTACTTACCATTTGTGGAGAACCTCCATAAGTGTCGATTCCTAATGGAGATATTATTTTAGTGATTGCTGTTGTTAGTAGTACTACTACTACTAGTAGTAGTAGTAGTTCTTCCTCTACTAGTAGTACTAGTAGTAGGAATACTAACAGCGGGATAAACAAGGGCTTCTTGTTGTTCTTCTAATAGTATTGTTACCTGTAGCAGTAAATGTATTACCTACTGCTAGTACTACTACTACTGTCTACTGCTGCTATCACTAGGCACCACAAGTATGAGGACTGTGGAGGAGGCAACTGCTGGTCTTTTTGCTGCTGGTAAAGTGGTGAGAACTATATTCATGTAATTGAAATGTACTAGTACTATTCTCCTGTACTAACTACTACAGTACTACTACTAGCAAGGCATGATAAAGAACTGAACTCATTTCTTCTTTCAAACAACACCATGGTGATACYATTCTTGTCTAATGTGATGAACTACTAATAATACTAGTACTAGAAGAGATGGTGAGGACAACAACAAGGGGAAGACTGGACCATCTCTTCTCTAATAAAAGGTAAAATGTTCCTGGTACTAGCAGTACTAGTAGTACTACTTTTTGCTCTTTGCCACCATAAAAGAACATGGCTGGGTGGTGGTGGCAACATATTTACTCCTCTTCTTTGTTCATGTTCCTTGAAGATAGTCAAAGAGTTGGTAGACATAATACCCCATGTTCCTTTTGTAATCATATTATTATTCTACAGTAAATAGCTAGTAGTAGTTAATTCAATATTGATTCTTTTAGACCAAGTTGAAAAGTCAAAAATAGATTATCATTTCAATTTTGGTTTGCTCTCCCTCCTCCTCCTTGATTCAAATCCATTGTTTTAATCATTTTAGTACTCATAGTACTTCTACTACATCTTATCAACTCTGTCCTCCAATTTCTATGTTTCATTGCTACTATTGCATAGACATGGCTCAAAAAGTGACAATAAAGTTGTAGATTTTGGGACTTYATTTTGCGTGTAATGATTACTTTGACTACTAAAAAACTGGCTTCCTTGTACTGCAATTTACAGCCAGGCATGTGCTGAATTTTTAGTCCCACCAGTGTGCRACCAAATAGTTGCATGCATATGTGCTCCAACTGCTGCTGATTTTTGCTTCAACACATTCTACTATTGGTGTACCTCTAGTACAAATCCAAATTTTTAATCCYATGAGTCATTACACATAAAAAGATAGCCCAAAATCAATGCACAGTTCAAAAACATGTAGAACATTAAGTAAGTGTCAACTCACTCTAACAGCTACAACTTGGTCCCCAGTGGACACTTAAGAATGATAGGCACMWSAWKRAWRA